GCCGCAATTCTACACCGCGAGCGCCCGAGCTGCTGAACGTGCAAGCTTGCAGTTTCGTCCTGCCTTGGCATAAATAGCCAAAGCATCAGGCAAATGTCAAGCACGAGCGAAGAAATCGCGTTGTTCTCATGCTATCTCGAGCAGCAGGTTGGGTGTGCTTGAAATAGAACCGTCTGTGTGGCCTGCTGTGAGCTGGCTGGGCTATTTTAAGTGTTACTAAGCCTTGTGGCTGGCACCTTTTGGGGGACGGAGGACTGAGGCAACCGCACGGTAGGGATTTGCTCTCCTGCGCAACTTCTGCAGAGGCAGAAGGCTCCTCTGCTTGGGGTGGTGCGGTGATTCTGGGGGCGACAAAGGCGCAGGCCGGGGAAAACAAAAAAGGCTGCTTCCTGCGGGGTTTCTCTCTCCTGCTCCGGGAGCTGACTGAGTTCCCTGCAGCAGGGCTAACGGGAATAGCTTTTAGAAATGACTGAAGTGTCCCCTTCTAGGGGTAGAAGAGCGAGCCAGCCCAGTGCGCCCAAAGAAGAGAGTCCAGGAGTGTATGTTCTAAGATCGTGGTCTGTCGACAGTACCTGAAGCTTGTTGATAGCCTCCTATCTTGAAATGTTTTGGTAGTTAATTCTAAGGCTTGAAAATGGTCTAAAGTGAATAGGCAGAACAGCTTAAAAAAAAAAAAAAAAAGGTTTTTTTCAGTCAGAGATCTCTAACTACTGTTTTTCTTCCTTTCCCCCCACCACCCCCCTTTTGCTCCAGTGACCACAACAGGTTTGGAAGGTATTCTTGTGGAAAATTATTGAATGATTTTTCTAGTTGTTCTAGGCAACTGTATGCTGTATCTGTAGACTCTTGCGAGGTGCAAGCTGGGACAGTTTGAAGGTTGTATCTGCGGCTTCAGGCAACATGACAGCCAGAAATTTGGGAGATGCTCTTTGTAAGTGCTGTATTCGAAGAACATAGAGCTGTCTTAAAATCTAGTTGTCCTTTTCCTTAGCAGTGAAATGTCCTGGGCAAATTGCTGCGTTCCTTTTGCTGGGTGCCAGCACTGATGAGGAACAAGGGAAGCGTTGGAAGACATCCACGGCTGTTTCCCTGCTCGCAGGCTGGGGGGCTTCTGCTGGCGGTTAGGTGCTGCGTCTGACCGCAGAAGTGCGGTTGACAGCAATTGACAGAGCCAGTTGGTGGTCACAGCATGGTTGCTGTGGCACTGCTTACCCAGAAAGCCTGGACCTGGCCTTGTGATACCGTGCACAGTAGATGGAGGGCTTTGTGCGTTTCTGTGAGGTCATAGCAAATTGTTTTGAGCACTTTTGATTTGACTTCCCTGCGCTCAGTGGTACAGAAACAACTCATGGCTGCGCCCTGTGTTTTCCAGCCGTGGCCAGCATCAGGCACTTCAGAGGACAGACTCTGCCACGGTAGGTGAGGTGTAACCTCCTTTTAAAAACGTTCTTACCGCTGGCAACTAGCGCCAGGACCTGCAGGGTTTCAACCTGAACGTCTCTGCGTTCCCTGCTGGGCAGATGCATGTGAAACCACTGGAAGGGAGAGTGCGACTATCGTGCGGTTGCTGTCTGCCAGAGTCAGAATGAAATGAGAAGATCTGATAGGCTTTGGAGACGTGAAGAGGCAATAAGCGCCTCGGTGAAAGCAAGCGGTGGCTCAAGCAGAAGCCCGTGCCTTCTGTGCCCGAGCCCCCGCGTGTCTGTGCGTGGTGCGCGTGCTCGATGCGTTGCCCTCTCTTCTCCCTGCTCAGAATGGGAGAAGAATCAGCCAAAGGTTCCTGATTTACGGTGAGAGAGGGAACGCCCAATTGACAGAACATGTGTGAGCATGGTTTCTTTGGTTTTGCTTATTCTAGAAAAATCTTGTTTCCCACCCTGTAAGAAACCTGTGCTTATTTTGATGGAGCTGCTCAGCCTCCCTGCAGGTATGTTGCCGTAGTTCGCGGGGGCTTTGGGGGACAGTTGCAGCTGGGCAGGCTCAGTTCGTCGCAGGAGGACCTTGGACCTTTAACTGCTGTGAGAGCTGTTCGGAAGGAAAGGCAGCTCCGTGTGTGCGTGCAGGTGCACGGGGAGAAGCGTGCTCAGCAGGGTTCACTGCAGGGACGTACGAGTAGCTCAGGATCTGTGAGAATCCCTGTAAAAGATAGTTCTCCTCTTATCCCACCAGGTCTTGGCTTTAGCGAGAGCTTCTGTGACTTAAACGATTCAAGCTTAATTTCTCTACTATGTGAAAGCGCTTCCTTTGATCCACCTTGAATGTCAGCTCTACTTCTCTGTGGTTTGTGGTGCAGGGTGGAAAAGTGCCTGGCTCACCTCAGCTGTGAGGCTTATTGCCTCCTGCAGCCGATGCCCTCTTCAGTTCTCTAACGCAATCTCTCTCGTCAACGCTCCTGTGTTTTATAGCCTAGATCTCTGTCGCCAGAGGCTGAAGTGAGAAATCGCAGAACGTGTTTTGCAAAACTTAATATATAGTTCATTTAATGAAAACTGTTGGATGTTGTTTTTACTGTCCCCCTCCCCCCCCCCCCCCCCCCCCCCACTAAGGCCTGCTGGCTTACAGGAAGTGTATTGGTGCCTCCTGTTAGGAAGACTGCACGGAAAACGGGTTGGAAAGGGCATAGATATGTCTTCATTTAGATCCTAGAAATTAATATTGGGACCCAAATTCCTGAAATGGAATTTAACTACATGTGGAGTTGTAGGGCAGGAAGTAAACAGTTTTCTCCAAAAACGTGCTTAACTCATGCTTGCAGGTAGTGTGGAGGAATTTATGAATCCCTGTGGAATCACAGGAGGAAAAAAATGAGTTTGGGAGAGGAGACGGCTCTAATGAACGATTTGAGACAAGGCAGGGTAGGAGAGAGGCTGAGGTTAGAGGAGCATGAAAGAAGCAGCGAGTGGGATGCAGAGGAGGAGTGGAGGGTCTTGGTGGGACCGTGACCGTGGGGTGAGCAAGGAGGAGAAGAGGTGAACCTGGGCATGACCGAGAAGGGAAGGACAAGCGTCCCAGGCACTTGGCAAAGGCAGGAGGGCATAGTGACAATTTCAGGGTAGGGTTGTGGCCAGTGGCAGAAGCAGCAAATGGAGTCTAGCTGGCTATTTTTATAAAACTGCTCTTAGTGGCAATGCAGTTCCTAGAGGAGAAAGCACTGGGGTTTGAAGAAAGAAACTTTTCACGGCAGCTGGTTGAATCTTCTTCTTTCGTTCTTTAACATACGAACCTGTAAACATCACTTCACATGTTTGACTTCTGATTATTTTATTTTTTATAAAGCAGATGAGTTTTTTTGGACCTACCCTGGGTCTGTTGAATCACAGTAAAAAGTATCCTGATCAATCTTCCTGTTTATTATGAAGGTGGTATATTTGAAGTGTAATCACTAACCTAAATAACATGACCAACCCCGCCGCCACCTCGGTGTCTATAAAACTGTTTTGCTTTCAAGGTTGGTCATCTCTGGAAAAAGCTTTCTGAGTAAGTTAGGCCTTGTGTAAGAATATAATTGTAGCAAACAACATTGTGACATTGTTGCTACAGTGTAAACGTTGTTTCCTACAGTATGACAAACAGGAGCTCGAGCTGGCGTCTCGGTTGACCTCATTAAGGCTATACGTCCTAAGAAGTTAATGTCCTGCCTTCGTGTGACTAATCTTAATTATGAAACTGTTCAGACAGGGAAGCCAAATCTTGCTTTATGCCAGAATATGTTGTTATACTAAGGGAAAGGAAGAACATCCTGATCTGGTAATAACGTATCTCCAAGTGAACTCCTGAGAGTGAAGAAGAGTTTTCCTGGCCTTTCTGGCATAAAGGCAAGCTTCTTCGTAACCTGTCTGACCGGCCAACCATGCTATTAGGCTCTTTTACCCTTGGAGGAACCAAGCAGAAAGCTCATTCAAGTTATGCTTTTAGCCTTCCGTGCTCAGGTTCAGTCTTAAGGGTGCTGAAAATATTGACGCTGCGCTAGTAAGTCGACTCACTGGAGGTACTTGAAGGGTCTCTTACAAAATCACTTAACAAAGAAGTGGTTTTTGTGGAAAGTATTGGGTTTTTTTTTTGTTTGGTTGGTTTGGTTTTTTTCAGTTGATAAGTCATGATTGAGGCAAGAAACAGACTTAAATGGCAATATATGGAGCTTTCAAAACAGCTAAAAGGTGACTTTGGTCTCCATGGAAGCTCATCTATGTTGTAGCTTTATGGAAGACTTATTCCAAAGCTACTGTCTGACTTTAGAAATTATTATTATTATTTTTAAAAAGAGAACCACTAGAGCTGAAGTTTGGGGTCGTTCTAGACATATGGGGAAGTATCCCCTTGTAGCAAAGGGGGCTGTTCCTGTGCTCTGCTGGAGAAAAGTTTGATGTGACCTCGCAACGCTTTCTGCTCAGACTTCGCTCCGGTTCTGTTCCCCAGCTGTAGAGTTGGGGTAAAAAGGGGGTGTGTGGGTGGGCCAGGAAGCGTGCGGTGCTCCGACTGGTGAGGGCTGTACAGTCGCCTGGGTTGCGAGCTGTGATCTTGGCTGGAGGGCTGGGGAAAGCCCAACTGCTCTGCGGTGTTTGTCCGTGACTCCGTGTGGAGCAGCGCAGCCTGGCGCTGCCCCTTCCTGGCGTGCTGGCTGCTCTCCCGCTACTTCAGAGACTTTAGAAAGGAGGAAAGTTCGCCTTGCAAAAGCTTACTACTTTCCAGACAGAAAAGGACTTGAGAAAACACGTAGGGAAGTGTCTCTTCGTCGTCGTTCTAAGGCATCTGCAAATTTCTGTGTGTTCTGCAGATGTTAAGGTTGAGAGGGAAGTTTACTGACGAGTTTAGCTTTGGTAGCTTTGTTCTGCCCTGAGAACTGACTGTTACAGTTTGGAAACTTGTGAACAATTTTGAAAATTGGATGATTAGCTGAAAAACTATGGGAGCGATATATCTTCCAAAACACTAGAACTGAGCAATTAAAGAGGGAATTTTCTTAAGGCTGGCTGAAAAGTTCACTTCTCTTTTAGTGGCTGTTTTCAGCAGGGGGGAAACTGTTAAAGACTCAGACTGACCTGCTTTTTCAGAGGTGTTTGAGCAGGACTGTGCTCCAGACCCTTAGATCCAAAGGAGCGTCTCCACAAAAATCAGCAGTGGTAACTTCTCCAAGAGCTGTCCTAAGCCATCTGTTTGAAGTGTGAAGTTTTATCTGTTTCTAAACTCAGTTAATAGGTTACAGACAAATTCATTATTATGCCTGCATTTGCTGTGGGAGAAAGAGGAGTTATTCTGATCCTTGCTGAAGAGCTTTCTCCCCAGACCAGGGCTTTCTGTTCTCTCATGTTTAATTAAGCTGGACCCCAGTGCTCAAACCAATGAGTCCGAATGCTACTATTGTAGTGCACCTTCGTATCAGGTCGTTCTAGCCTTGTTTGGGTTACAATACCTTCTTTGTATTCCCCTCCCCAAAGGAGAGTAAAACCTTCTGTGATGGGGAAGTCGATGAGTGAGAATACAGCAGTGCGACCTTCGTAGCTGGCATCGTGGTAGGAAGACCCACGAGGTGGATGGTGATGTTTTAGCGTGTGTCTTTGTTACAGAGCCAGCCGACGTCTGTGCAGCGTGGTGGCGGCTCGAGAAGCATGAGGCTGTGGCGCTGGGGGCCCTGAAGGTCGGCGGGCTCGCGGGGAGGAATGCTACGGTGGGCAGTGCACTTGGAAGGTGGGCCCCGGAGGGTGAACCACGCTGCCGTGGCCGTCGGGCACAAGGTGTATTCCTTCGGCGGCTATTGCTCTGGAGAAGACTATGAGACTTTACGGCAGATCGATGTCCATGTTTTTAATGCAGGTAAGAGCGCTGCATCCTTTTGGTGCATGAGGGAATGGCTCTCTGGGCTCAGTTAGCAGCTTCTCTTGCCCACTGCTCCTGAGCAGGGAGAAGTTATGCTCTGTGGCATGCTGTCCGACTGTAATTTCCAAAACACTTATCCATGTTGATGGGAGCCTCTTCCCTTGTGCAGGCCTGTATTTTCAGCTTCAGGAGTAGGGCACGGAGGGGCTGTAGTTGAGGAGATTGCCACGGGAAAGGCTTACCAGAAGCAACCGTATAGTCAGCAGCTCGTTTCATCCGTTTTCTCAGTGAACACTGGCTCGAAACTGCAAAGAGAGGCTACGTTTAGTTGGATCAGTTCCCCTGTCCGGTTTGCGGCGTGAGCATGCTCAGCTGCCCTGTAACATGGAAGTGCCAGTACGCCAAGTTAAGTCTTCAGGTTTAAATTCCTGAGCTGTTTCAGTGTGGTGGCAGCTGACAGCCGCTGCTAGCGTAGTGGAAGTGGCAGGGCCATGTGGTTAAGATGGAGGCCTTCCACTTTTAGTAGCAGGTGGCCACTAGATATCATGAAGATTCACAGTGTGGCTCAGCAAAGCAACTGGAGCTGGAGTTATACTTGTAGGGTAACCGGTGTGTCGGGAAAAAGAGTCGGAGTCATCGGTCTGTGAAGCACTTCCTTGTAATTAGGCAGGTGGCTGAAAAACTGCACTGGTGCTTGCATGGGTCCAGCTGAGCAGACGAGAAGACAAACTTGAGGAGGGACAAAAGCATAGACCCAGTAGCTAGTTCTTCAGACTGGACAGCATGCCTAAACACTCTCCTAGCACTCAGGTGGGATGTGCATAAAATCACTTTGTCTGTAGCGAGTTCACTGCTTTAAGTCTGACTTTGGAGAAGATGGTGACTCATGCCATAGTGAATAAGGTGGTTGGTTTACATACAGCCTTTGAGATGATCCCCTCAGTGCAGAGGGGAGCAACACTCGGGATCTCCTGAGCGAAGGATATTCAGCTATAGGCAGGGAGATTGGGTTCTCACAGACAAGACGGTTGAACAACGTAGCTCGTAAGACATGCTAGTAGAGCACAGCCTTTATGGTGAAAGCGTAATTAGTGTGCCCGAAGGAATGCTCTTGTATTTTCCTCCCTTCTTACCACTCCCAAACAACATTAAAGGGCCATATTGCTGCATCCGCCGCTTGGGAGGGAGGGGGCTCCAGTCACACTGGCTTCCCAAGCCCTTGCTCAGCTGGCTCTGTCAGGTTTCAGCGCTAAGCCAAGATGCTACGTTCAATGATCCAAACAGCAGAACTGTGTTATAGGTAGGGAACACCCTTTAGAGCTTGACTTTAGCATGGCCGTGCTTTCTCAGTGCCCGTCCTGCCCCTGAGATGGACGCTCACCTTTTAAAACGCCTGATCCTTTCCCTTTTGCTGTATTGGTATTTCAGGGGATCTGCAGCCCAACTGTTTTCTGCTGTATTTTGTGTTTTCTCCTGGTTGAAAACAAAACTGGAAGCAGTATGCATGGCCAAAGGATTGTGTCTGGATGCTGTTATGCAATGCCCACATAACACTTTCTGTGACTGTCGTGCTGTCGCTAAAGCCCTGTAATACATGTTGACTGCTCTGGCTACTACTGAAAATGACATGCAGGTGCCCAGGAAGGAGAACCTGTAAACACAAGAAACTCCTATTAGTAACACAAGGTTAGCAGAGAGATGTCTGTAACAGCTGAGGTGTGGGTGGGGGCAAAGGTCTAAAGTTTTTTTTAAAAAAAAAAAAAAAAAAAGAAACGGACATAAATCCTTGTTCCTACGATGCTGCGGGTTACTCTACTCAGAATGCTGTCGCGAGTCTGAATGATGCCATCGGGTGTGTTCCCTTGCCTGCTGCAGTGAATGCTCCTGGGCTGCCTGTTCGTCTACCTTTGAGTCCGTTCTTCAGAAACGTCACTAGCTTAAACTAGTTTCTGCGTTTATTATCACCTCTGTGCTTTTCTTTCCCTTTTGGATCATGGGTTGGGTTTTTTTTGTTTTTTGTTTGTTTTTAATGATTATTGAATGTGCTATATCCTCCAGCCCACTCTCTAGGATGAGCCAGAGTGGAAGTCTCTTCAGTGTAGTTGATGGAAAAAATGAAGACGTTTCAGATCAGTTCTCAGGTGCTTCTTCTAGTCTCCTCTGTGACAGTGGACTTGTGGAAAGTCATGCTTCCATATTTCTTAGCTACCTGCTACTCGGGGTCAGACGCAGCTCTGGTTGCTTAGAGTTCTTCTGCACCTTGTTGTGGAGGAAAGAAGCTTTCTGCTTTCGTGAACACTCACTTGTGCAGGAGGGCTTGTGACTTGTGAGCACGTGTAACAGGTGGACGTTTGACATGGGCTTGAACTTCTGCTTTCAGTGTCTCTGCGCTGGATCAAGCTGCCTCCGGTGTGGACAAACAGCCGAGACCATGTGAGAGAGGTGCCCTATATGAGGTATGGGCACTCAGCAGTGCTCATAGATGACACCATCTACATATGGGGTGGTCGCAACGACACTGAGGGAGCCTGCAACGTGCTCTATGCCTTTGATGTCAGTAAGTTCCAGCTCCTTGCCCTTCCTTGTCCCAAATGCTCTTGGTGAGACCCTCTGTCACTGCTCTCCAGCTTGCTATCCTGTCACTCAATGTGTCTGCAAAGTGGTAGTCTGAAGCATATGGGGCAGGTGAGGAATCGATGTATTATCAAGAACATAAGAGACACGGTGTCTCTAGCTGTCTTGGCAGGTTTGAAAGAGGAACAGGATGGTCAGTGTGTCTGGACACTTGACTCTGCAAAAGCCTTTGAACAGAAATGACTGAACTTGTCTCATAGAAAAATTAAAAGCCACTGGACTATCAGCTTTGTGTGCTCTCTCTGATAGTAACTACAACTGAAGCTATCCCTCTCTGTGATATGCTGTTCCTTAACTGTGGCTGAAGGTTGCAGCAGGAAAGGGGGGGGGGGGGGCCTCTTGAGGACCACGGGTCTTCTCCAGGGTGACTTTTCTTTATGTAAGAATGACGCAGAGTGAGGAATAAAGTACAGAAGCAGTCAGGGACAGGATGGAAAAACAAAGGCAAGCATGAGCTGAGTTAGATAAACCTGAAAGATAGCCTTTCTGTTGGCTTTTTTCATTGCGCTGTTGGATCATCTGGGGAAAACAGGAACTGGGTGGACAGGCGTGTTGGGAAAGGGGGAGGGAGAGTTACGTCTGGATTCTGGAGGCAAGTCCAGCCTAAATACTGGCCGGGAGCAGGCTTGCTGGGCTTGCAGGAGAAGTGCTTGTTCTGGTGCTTGGCCACAGGTTCCTTTCCTTGCCAGGAAAGATCTTGCTGCTTGAGAGCCGCTCTCTGAGCACAGTTGTTTGCGTTTTTCTTTTTCACCCAATGACACATGCAGCCAGGAAGCCACCAGTAAACCTGTGTGTACACAAGGGCCTTGCAGGGGAAGCTGCCTGGTGTCCCTGCCAACTCGAGCACTTTAGCATTAAGTGAAAATTAACTGAAAAGCCAGACTTCAGTCCTGGTCCAAACCCTGTGCAGCTGTCTGTACGCACTGTGCCTGTCCTCTGCCAATCCTGGAAAGTGAGACTGGCAATCCTCCAACTGTGATGGAAGCTCTGTTGTATGAGATTCATCAGGATCAAGGCCTGCTTCTAAAGTCCTGGCTGAGGGCGTCTTTGTCCTCTGGGGATGGAGGTGCTGATCACAAGTCGAGGTCTCTTCCATCTCTAATTTGACACATTGCACTTGGCTGAGCTCTTGCTGCTGCCATGTGATTGGGATTGGAACAGCCCCGTGAAGGATGGAAACTCAATAGCCATCACAGCTTTCTTGCTTGCAGGCCATCCAGGGATTTTTGTTGACCTTGGAAGCCCCTTTGTGCTGTTCCAGCTGGGGCTTAGGCGGATAACTGTGGCCGAAGGCCAATTCAGAGAAGTTATCCTCTCCCAGAGAACGTTGCTTCGGCTCCAATTTTGCCACTTCCTGAAATAAGCACCGCTGTTGGCGGCGTTTAGGGCCGGGTTTGGGGGGAGGAGAACGTCTCCTGCAGTCTCAAGGCTTATCTGTGCCTCTCTGGGGGCTTCTGGGACAGGTGCCTGTTTGTGCTTGACAGTGAGTGGCTGGCTTAGTTCCATGTTGCCCTGAATGGAGAACAGCTCTAGCTAGATTTCAAGTCCCCCCCCTAAATCGAGCCGATCCCTGGAGCACGCAGGGTAAGGGGATGAATCTGGCTGGTGTAGAGTCGTGGGGAGCAGTGCCTGAGGGGCAGGCAAGTGGGAAGAGTGAACAGTGGAGAGCAGGGAAGGCTCCCCTTGAAGAGGAGATGAGAATGTAACAAGAAGAGCAGATAAGATAGGGAGAGCTGAACTGCGGAGGTGAGGACATGCACAGTAGCTCTGTTGACAGGAGCAGTTAAATGACCTCGGACTGGATTTTAGAGCGTTGTTTTTCCTCCATCAGTTAGCTGGCATCTCCCAGCTGTGAGGTCACTTGTGCCATTTGGCATCTTTACATTTACAGCTTCAATTACAATGAAGCAGAGTTGATAAGTGACTCGCTAGTAGGCTTTGCAAGAGATTCAATACAAATAACGTTGCTCAAGCAGTGCTGTGCTAGTCACACCTAAAACTTGAGCTTATTGTGGGGTTTGGCAGAGTCAGCAGTCTTGCCCTGGGACTGAGGTCCTCTGTCAGTGTGCCCCCTCTGAGGAGGCTCAGACGGTTGGCCTTGCTTGAAGAAGCTTGCATTTTCTCTTCCTGGAGAAGCATGTGCTCTACGTGAAGGAGAAAAGGACTTTCTGTCTCAGAAATAGCATTCTTCCCTGCACCTGAAGAATGGTAGTCAAGAGTTACCCCATCCTTAATGTCTATTGTATTTTCTTAGCGCTGCCACTGCCTTCTGTTTTGTTTTAGATACGCACAAATGGTTCACGCCGAAGGTGTCTGGAATGGTCCCAGGAGCGAGAGATGGGCACTCAGCTTGTGTCCTGGCAAAGAGCATGTTTATCTTTGGAGGCTACGAGCAGCTGGTAAGTAGTCTCTGCAATACTTATTTGGAGATCCCTGGGAAAGAGGGTGTTCCTGTCCAGGACGTGAGCAGAGGCAGGGTAAAAGGGCATGCTTGCTTTTATAGTTGCTGTCATTTTATAACTCAGCAAAGCCATGGCATAAATTATCCAGGTTAGGCTCCTGGTTTTATGGAGAAGATGGTTGAGAAAGTAGGTCTACAAAAATTGGTGGTTCTATTGTTTTTGATCTGCCCCCCCCCCCCCAACAAAACAAACAATGTGTTTTACTCTTAGAGGCAAAAGATGTTTGCCTGTGACTTGGCATGTGTGCCTATTCACAGGTTAGAGGATGCTTTCTGTATCTACCTGAGAGATTTTGGGGTTAAAAGTGGTTGTACTTTGCTGTTCGTATATATTTATATAATATATTGATTTACCTATGTTTATTTTAATTTGGCTGAAAAATGAGTTGGAAAAATCCCTTTCCAGTGTCTGCAACGTTGGTCTGAGGCTTGGTCCTAATCTGGTGCGTGTTCCCTGTGTTCTGTACCTATTCTCACATCTTGCTGAGCTCTTTCAGTAAACGCTTACTTGTCCTCCCACATAAGAGTACTTTAAGCTGAAGGTCATACTGCACTAGCTGTCAGAGTGCTTAACACTCCTTTGAGCAAACCCTTATGCTCTGATCTTAACAAGTGGGTAAATATAATTTCAACCTATTACCAGGCTCCACAAAAGCTGTGCAAACTCATCTCTATCTGGAGGAAAGCTGGGGCTCTGTTATGGCAGTCGCTGGGCTATTCCCCTTCTTCCGAGCAGTAGAGCAGTGCCAAATCCATAATCTTGATTACAGTAGCAGTACGAAAGTGGTTTGTTTCTTAACCAAGACCAAACAAGCCTGTAGCCACCTCGGCGCTATCTCCTCCGCCTGGAGGAGCGGAACGCTGTACAGTCTGTGCGAATGCAGGCCCTTCCACGCTGCTAGCGGCAGATGAGTTTTGTGGGATCCTCAGACCCCCAAGCATATTTACTCATAGATATTTTGCTTCCTAGAAATAATCTCAGCTCCCTTCTACCTCCCGTCATGTGGCCTTAGCAGAGTCGATTGTGACCGTCCAATTGCGGAGCTCCCTTCTTCCGTCACTGCATGGAACGGGGGCAGGTGTTGCTGGGAACATACATGTGGCATGTAGGACTCGGCCTTGATCGTAACAAGTGAGCTTCTAATAGATTGGAAGGCTATAGAGAGAGAAGGGACAGCTTTGAGGAGAAATGGGCTTCACCTCCCTCTCGTGAGGGGATGAGTGTGCTGCTTACCCTGACGTTTTGGCGCTAGCACCCCATCTCTTTGGAAGTGCTGACTCCAAAGGGATGCTCCAGGTTTCTAGGAGAACATCCTTTCCTGGGGCCAGGGGTGACCAGGCTGCCCGGTCCCTTGGTGACCAGGCTGCACTGCTGTTCTTCCAGGCTGACTGCTTTTCTAATGACATCCATAAATTGGACACCACAAGCATGATGTGGACCTTAATCTCTGCCAAGGTCAGTGTCTGTTTTCTCACTCTGATTTGTGGGGAAGTCTTGTCTCTGCTACCCTCTGGGATAGCTGCCCACCATTGTCTCACAGTTTGTCTTGCCTGGCTGCGATCTGCAGGAGGAGGAGTTCTCCAAGATCAGGCAGCCGCTGCTCCAGCTTCCTCATTGAGATGCGTCCTCTCCCTGGATAATCTGCCTACTTTCTCTTGTTCTATTTTAATCTGTTTTTGCAGGGTACGCCAGCTCGTTGGAGAGACTTCCATTCGGCTACTATCATTGGAACAAAGATGTACGTGTTTGGTGGCAGAGCTGATCGGTTTGGGCCATTTCATTCCAACAATGAGATCTACTGCAACCGGATTAAAGTATATGACACAGAAACCAACTCCTGGCTGGACTCGCCTCCAACTCCAGTGCTCCCTGAAGGTCGGCGGAGCCATTCGGCCTGTGAGTATGGAGCTGCTGAGGAAGGTGGACAGTGGAAGGGAATTCCCCTCTCACAGCAGGAGGGGTGTCTGGCCTGCTGGGTGGAGGTATGGGATGGCAAGGAACGTGCAGAACCTGGGTGCTGTGGAAAGCTGCTGCCTCTTGCAAAGCCTTGCACCTCGCCCTGCATGCGAAGATGATGTAGACTAAGGGAGATAACCAGCACCCCTTTGCTTTACATTTGGTATTGGAACAGGGATCAGCTGGGCTCCACCGTGGGTGGCACACTGATGTCTCTGCTTACTCCCCACAGTCAGCTACAATGGGGAGCTATATGTATTTGGTGGCTACAACGCGCGCCTGAACAGACACTTCCACGATCTCTGGAAATTCAATCCAGGTACTTACACTTTTAACTTGTTGTAGTGACAGTGCTCGAGGCCCTCAAGTGTGTAAGTGCTCAGATGCATGTATGCCCCAAGGGCCTAGGAGCCTGTTTGGGAGAAATGGCTCTTGTGATGGCATTGACAGGAAATTGCTGCCGTGCTTGTTCCTTTTCATGCTGTTTCCAAATCTCAGTCAGAAAGCAGAAAAGGAAGCATTGCTGAAAGATGCACCTAATCAGAAAGTGGTCTCATTCTTAAACATGCAGAAGTGTTATCAGAAAAGAAGGTACAGGGAAGCATTGGGGTTAGGGAACCCCAGAGACCATAGGCGCAGAAACTATTCAGTTTGAGCTGCAGCATCCCCACACCACACTGTCTTGGTACCAGGAGATCAAACTGGGCAGTGGAAATGGTCGTTCTTGAGCTGATGCCCTGAATATCAGTGAGCTGTTTGGGGTCCCCCCCCCAAACTCAGGTACTTTTGGCAGTCCATGAAACTGATTTGTTTGCCAATTGCTTTGTATAATGAAATCCTGTAAAAATGTTACATGGCTGTCCGAGAGCAGCCAGTTTGCTGTTTCCTCAGCTGATCTGGGGGCTGATGGCTCTGCTCCTGGAGATTTCAGTGCTGCACATCATACCTTAATCACCCCTCAGTGTCCTTGCCATGGAGAGTGGCAAGGACAAAGACTTGGTATCTTCTCCACCTTGCTCAGCTTCCCGTGTTCCCCCATGGCGGGGATGCTCTGCCTTTTCTGTGGCTGCCAACAGATGGAGCTGGATCCCTGGCTCTCCCTGCAGAGCTGGGCCGCACTAGGGTGCCTGGAAGGGAGCCCGCCCGCCTGCTCCTGGAGTCTTGCCCCCGTACTGGTCCCTGTGCCGGCTGCCTGGCGCTTAGGCGCTGTAAGGGAAAGGCCTAGGCTTGTTGCAGTGGATGAAGGGGAGAACTGGCTACTTCTGTTGCAGCAGGCAGAGCTCTAGGGCTGCGCCTGGTGTCTGGTGTGACATTTTGGGAGCAGCCCTGCAGAATCGTATTGTTCTGCCTCTGCAGCAAGAAGTGGTGGACAGGGAAGGAAGGTGGATGTTGGCTATTCGGTAGCTGTAGGGCAGTGGGCCTCTTTTTTTTTGTGGTTTGTTTAAATCCGTAACCTGCCTATACCTGGGTCTCGGCCAGGCTCTTATGAGAAGCTGGTGCATTCTTTTTCCCCCTTAGTTTCTTTTTCTTGGAGGAAGATCGAGCCCAAGGGCAAAGGCCCATGTCCTCGACGCCGGCAGTGCTGCTGCAGAGTGGGGGACAAAATCATTCTCTTTGGAGGCACCAGGTGAGTTGTGTGAGGCCTGTGGGGTGGCTCTGTGAGAGACTTTGCCATGGCCTTTGGTTCAGTTTCTCCCTGGGCTCTGTCCTGTGCTGTAGTCAGCTTCACTTTAAAGCCATGTGGCCACTGTCTCTCCACCTTTATCCAGCAGAAATGACATAGATCAGAATTCCCCTGGAAAAAGGGGAAGACTGAAGATGTCATGTTAGCGTGTAAAGCACTGGGTGATAAGCCTTCTTTTACAACGAGTAGGGATGGAAGCGTGTAACATCCTGTTCAGGAGGGGTTGTGCAATTTGGTGGCCAAGCTTTCTGTGAAAGAGGTCTGGAGGGGCAAGGGGGAAGCAACATCCTGCTGTCAGGAGGGCAGGCTGCTCTGCTGCAGCAGACCTCAGATTGACTTACCTCTGCTGCATGCTGCCTGGGCTTCTCCCGCCAGCGTTTCTCTTCTTTTGCTGGCAATCGTGGTGTCTGCCAAGCTGCAGAGGGGTGTCAGCTCAGCTGGGAGCTGTTTAAGGAGTCCTTACGCGTACCAAGGTGGCGTTCCCTTCTGTGCCAGCGTTCCTTAGCGAAGTTTCCATTCACAAAGGGGACCCGGCGTTAGGGATTTAGCTGTCAAACACTGGGAGTGATACTGTCAGGATGCAGGACAGCTGGATGTTGCCAAGAGCCTTAACAGCTGCTAAAAGAGAGGAAGGGGCCCATCACCAGCACATGCTCTCTGCTCTCCGTCTGGAATGACGTGTTACAGTTCTGGAGCGCAGGTCTCTGCTGGCATCTGTCTTGTGTAAACATCTGAAGTGCTTTCAGGCCTCCAAATGGCTCGGAAAGCTTTGAGGGAGCTTTCCCTGGGACCCTGGTGTGGCTTTTTGGGAACATCTCTGAAGGCAGGCAGGGGACAGAGGACAGGGCATGGCAGAGGTCCAACTGATGGACTGTCCACACCAGCGGCTGATGGGATGAAAGGCTTTCAAGGCAAAGGAGCGCTGGGAGAAGAATGCAATACTAAGAGTCTTGTGTGGGTGCGAGGGAGCGCTCAGTGCTTGGGTGAGGTACTCAGAGGTGCAGAGTTATTCCAGTCTCCTCAACAGATAGTGGGTGTTGCAGTGTACAGTAGAAGGCTTGGTAGGACTGGAAGGCAGTTCTGGGTGCTCTCGGATGCTGCGGTCTTTGGTAGATGATGCTGGCTTTGTTACAGCAGCAGCTGAGCCCTGTTATTAAACCTAGGCACCCCTAAGAAATACTAACAAACAAAAACAAATTCAAGACCAGCTTTCTGGAGTGCTATCTGCCTCTGCCAGGCAACACAGCAGTGTTTGCAGCATCTGTTCCCCCAAAATGCTTCAGGATTCAACATGCTCTTTAATGTCCAGGCTCAACCCTCATGTATGGCGCTTCATCAGCACCAGCCTGGGATAGGAAGAGCTGCCAGTGGCCAGGAAGGCAGCCTGCTTGGACTTGAGGGAGAGTCTTGCAGGCTGGGGAAGGGGGAGGTGGGAGTGGGGGCTGTGCTCGCTTCCTGTAATGGTTATCAGGTGTGTTCTGGAGCTGCCTGGTGAGATAAGAAGTTTTCCAGGAAGTCGTTGAAATGGAGAACTCCCTGTGGTCTGCCTCCTGACCTGCATTCCCCCGGCCCAGGCCAGGGGTGGGGAAGAGATTGCGGTGCAGGGGGCTCGGCAGGATTGCTTGGCGGATAAGCCAGCAGGCAGTTTGCTAGGCAGCTGCTCTGGGGGAAGGACAGGCAAAACCCTTTTGTATCCTGCTTTCCCTTATAGGATTCATATACAGGGTAGACTGTCTGTTCAGAGGTGCTTCTGCAGGGTGCCTGCTGCTGTAGCATCCAAATGCTTAATTTCTTTTGTGTTCCTGCCTAGAGCTTGCTCTTTTTGCCCCATCTGTGGTCTCTCTAGACCAGGGGGGCTAGCAGCAATCCTGTCATTTATGTCTAAGTGACTAGGAAATCATGTAGTGCTAATCTCAGTGCTCCCATTAGCTATGTCCTCTTTTTCTCCAAAACCCACCAGTACTTCAGTGAGCAGAGATCCTGCCCAAGCAAGAACTGGGGGAGATGGAGTACAGTAAAACAGAATTTAGCTGAGCCTGAGGTTTCACATTGCCTGATAATGCTTAGAAATGCCTGGCTCTGGTGGGGAGGGGGGCAGGGGCTCTCACTGGGTGCTTGACGCAGGGCCCCAAGATCCTTTACCAGCACTTTTGAGCTGCTGTGAACTGGAATGGGCAGTTTTGCTGGGCTCTGGCTGGCAAAGGGGTGCCTGGCATCCCGCTGTCTTGGGAGCGGCAGCCCTCCTGGTCTTGACCTCCAGGCTTCCCTAGCTGCTTGCAGTTTGGTGATAACACTGCAGATGTGGTGCCTGCTGGCTTCCCTTCAAAAGATAAAGGATGCCGTAGGGACTGTGGCGTGGACGTGAGAAGATTAGGTTGGGGCATGGTAAGCGCACAAGGCAGAATTAAAAGGGCCTATCTTCAAGGAAATTGGACCCATCTGCAACAGGTCTCTCCTGCCAGCAGCGAGCTGTGCCCCCTTGTTGGAATTGGCATTATGAAGACTGATGAGGGTGGTACCATCTCATGTGCTGGTGAGATGTGAAAGTTGGGAAGCAAGTGACGGTGGGGTGAGACGTCACAGCACAAGCTCCTAGCTCAGCAGTAAAGGCAAGCTAAACTTCCTTGTCGCAGACTGAAGCGGGACTTGAAATGCCTTTCCTTTCTGTCAAACTCTCCAAACAACTATCAGCCGCAGGAGTGCTTTCCCTTGGGCCAAGCGCTGCTGTCGCAGCACAGGCTGGTCTGCCTGTGTTGGGGAAAGCAGCGATCAGGCTCCTGTGTGGCTTTGACTGCCCCACCAAGACTGCAAGGGACCTTAGAGAAGAGGCTGCCTGTTCCCTGGGAATGCCTGAAATGACTGCTCCCCTCTGGCATCCCAGGACTAACATCAGATGGGAGCATCAGCAAATTGGGACTGGCTTAGAATGGCAGTCTCACAGACCAGAGCCTGACACTCAGTCAGTCTCCTGAAACAGCCATTTCACCATGGCGTGTTGGTGCAGCCAGGGAGCCATGGCTGGAGCCTGCAGTGGAGCCTGCAGTCAGGCTGAGAAATGCCTGGGCTTGCACTGCCACAAGATGCTTCCTAGCTGCTTTCTCCACGCTTCTCTCACGATATCTCAATGACCATGTTGAAATAGCTGTAGTAAATCTTAACCATGTGAAAACTGGAGTGATGAATGCTGTGTGGCTGGGCAGAATCGCTTTGATTCGAACGCTGCACGGTTGGGATTGGCACATGCCTCCCAACTCGTGCAGCAGAAACCAAAAGCAGTCCAGCTGCTGGCATAATTGGAGGAACACAAGTTAGTAAAATAGGACGTGCCGCAGGCTGCTAGCCTGTGGGCTTGTGCTGGAGAGTTTGTGTTAACGCAATGGGTATGGGCAGCTAGCGCGGACTAAGAGGGGAAAGAGCTGCTGCTGAATCAGGAGGAGACCTCAGAAAAATTCACTCTTCTGCAGAAAATGTTGAGTTTCTGCAAAGCGCCTTCCATATAGTCCCCAGAGAAAGGTGCTTGGCTTATCATATTCCAGCCCACTGTGGTGCTGGAGCGGTGTGGCAGCGTGTGGTGGCTCTGTCCCCAGCAGCATCAGTGCTCCCAAGAGCTTGCAGACAGGAGAATCTCGCTCACAGGTTTCCATGGCATTACTCACAAGTAACATGCTGCATGTGGCAGCCTGTGAACGTTGCCCAGCCTTGGGAAGCTACAGCTGAGGTGGGCAGGGCCAGCAGAGCAGTGTTGCCTGCAGCATGTGGCTGCTTTCATTGCTTCTCCGGGGACCGTAAGCTTGGATGGCGGGTAGCTACTCATTGGTGCTGCCAACATCTCTGGAGCCACGCTGTGGCTCCCCTGCCCTGAGGCACTGCAGCACAACTGCGGAGAGGCTTGCAGAGAGGCCTCCTGCTGCCCCAGCTTATCCCACCTGCTTCAGTGTGGACACCAGCTCAGCTCTGGACTGTCTTGCCAGGAGTGTTTGCCAGCACCCTCCTCATGCCCAGAGAGTGGGTGCTGCAGGCCTAGGGGAGACCTCAGGGCTGCTCCGCTGGTGGAGAGCAGCTGGGGAGGTACCTGGGCAGGGAGGAATGTGAAACAAGCTGGAGGCTGGCAAAGGGGCAAGCTGGGAAGAAGGACGTTCCCTACAGCCTTCCCAGAGTGGGAAGTGGGCTTGAAGGGCAGGAAAGCAACAAAGGCAGCTCTGGGCCGAGAGAAAAGCTTGCAGCCAGAGTCGTCGGGGCTTGCATGAGAAGGAGATGCTCCCCCGTTCCCTGCCGGGGCTTGGGGTGGAGAAGGTGTGTGTTTCTGTCCAAAGGCCAGAGCTGGCTAGCCAGGCGACCCTTGCTCTGCATAGCCCGGTCTACGCTGCGGGGTGCTGGGTGAGCGATGGCTTTGGATGCTGTTGGGAGGAGGAGAGGGGCAGGAGGCATTAGAGGGGCCCAGATGTGGGGCAGGCAGGCCAGGGGTAGTCCTCAACTTTCTCAGCCCTCAGGGAGCCCCCAGGGATGCAACTAGGGTACAAGCGTTTTGACTGACTGACAAGCTGTGCTTGGCTTTTGCAGCCCGTCTCCGGAGGAGGGAATGGGCGATGAATTTGACCTGATGGATCACTCTGATCTCTACATCCTCGACTTCAGTACGTGAGCGCTCCCCGTGCAGGTCGCACCTCCTGCCGTGAGGCACGCTTGTGAGCAGGCCTCGCCGCGAAGCACTGTGGATCCAGGGTGCCTGCCTTTCGGTGCCTGGGCCCCCCTACAGTGCCTAGGCAGGGACTGCCGCTGCTAACTGTGCCTTCTTTCCGCAGGTCCCAGTCTAAAGACGCTGTGTAAGCTAGCGGTGATTCAGTACAGCCTGGACCAGTCTTGCCTTCCCCATGACATCAGGTACTGGGTGGGGTACAAGTCACCTTGGGTGCTCCCTGTCCTTGGGGCGTTGCGGCCCTAGAGCCCTCCCTGGCAGCGTGCTTCGGGGCCGGTTGGGCTGAGGAGCGCGGCTGGGCTTGGGGCGCAGCAGGGCTGGGCTTGCGCTTCCCCTTAGCGCGTCCCGTCGGTGTGTTACAGATGGGAACTCGCAGCCATGACGACGAACAGCACCATCAGCCGCCCCATCGTCTCCTCACAGGGCTGAAGCCGGCTCGTGCCTCTGCCCGCCACCCTGCCCTCACCCCTCCACACGCTGATCTCTTGTTCCACTGCCTGCATGAATTTTTAGCCCCTTCAAGCAAGGAACATGCGTGAGCTCTGTTGGTCCTGCCCTCGCCGGGCCTCCCTCTGCCCGTGTCGCACCTCCAGCAGCACGGAGGCGCAGGCACAGCTGGCCACCAGGGAAGAAAGCAGCTGGCCCTGGTAGCGCGATTGTGAACCCCCATCCTCAGTGCTGGCTCCAGGGCCTCTCCTGTTCCCTGTGCCCGGAGAACTGCAGCCGTGCTGCCCTGGCTCCCTGCCCTGCTCGGAGGGCCTGAACAGTCTCCCAGCGCTGGCCCTGGCCCTGGGCTCGGCCCTCGGGCTACAGACTCTTCCTGCGCTGCCTTGTGAGAGCAGGACCTGCTTCCTGGCACCGGACCCGGCC